CATGTGTAGTGGGAGACTTCAACACCCCACTCTCACCACCAGACAGAAACTTAACAAGGATACAAAGGATTTAATAGACGTTATGACCCAATTGGCTTTAACAGACATCTATAGAACACTCCATCCAGACACAAAAGAATATACCTTCTTCTCAGCACCACATAAAACCTTCTCAAAAACTGACCACATACTTGGCAACATAGCAAACCTCAACAGGTGCAAAAAAATTGGATTAACTCCATGTATCTTATCAGACCACCATGCTTTAAAGTTAGAATTCAACAACACAAATCGCAGAACCCCTACAAACTCATAGAAATTAAATAATGCACAATTGCATCACTCCTGGGTCAAAGAAGAAATAAAAAAAGAAATTAATGACTTCCTAGAATTCAATGAGAATGAAGACACAACATACCCAAACTTATGGGACACGTTGAAAGCAGTACTAAGAAGAAAGTTCATAGCACTAAGTGCCCACATGAAGAAACTGGAGAATAGTTATACTAGAGAATTAACAGCACAACTGAAAGCTCTAGAACAAAAGGAAGCAAACTCACCCCCAGAGGAGCAGATGCCAGAAAATAATTAAATTGAGGGCTGAAATCAATAAAGTAGAAAGTAGGAAAATGATACAAAGAATCACTGTAACAAAAATCTGGTTCTCTGAGAAAATCAACAAGATAGACAAACCTTATCCAAACTTAACAAAGGGCAGAGTTTGAACATACAAATTAACAAAATCAGAAAAGAAAAGGGAGACATAACAACTGACAGTGAGGAAATCAGAGAATCATCAGGTCATCTTTTGAAAAGCTATACTCCACAAAATTTGAAAAGTGAAAGGAAATGGACAATTTTCTGGATTAAGATATTACTTACCAAAATTAAATCAAGAACAGATAAGCAATTTAAATAGACATATAACACCTAAGGAAATAGAAGCAGTCATCAAAAGTCTCCCAACCAAAAAAAAAGCCCAGGGTCAGATAGCTTCAATGCAGAATTTCAAGAAACAGGTTATACCTTTTCTCCTCAAAGTATTCCAATGCAATAGAAGCAGAAGGGTCTTTGCCAAACTCTTTTTACGAGGCTTCAATAACCTTGATACCCAAGCCACACAAAGATACAACTAAGAAAGAGAACTTCAGACCAATATCTCTCATGAACATTGATGCAAAAATACTCAATAAAATACTGGCAAATCGGATCCAAGAACACATCAGAAAACTCATCCATCTTTGGGAGCCCATTCCACATGGAGGGATGTTCTCTCAGCCTGGACACATGGGGAAGGGCCTAGGTCCTGCCCTGAATGAAATGACAGATTCTGGAGATCCCCCCAAGGAGGGCCTCACCCTCCCTGGGGAATGATGTAGGGATTAGGTGGGGGGCTGGGGGAGGGACAAGGGAGGAGGGGTGGGAGAGGGAGCTGGGATTGACATGTGAAGCATGCATGCATGTTTTGAAGAGATAATTTATTTTAATAAAAATTTAAAAAAACAAACACATGGGGAAAAAAGAAACCTTGCAAACTGGAGTTACAATACATATTTCTAGTACATATCAGAGGTCCACATGTGTTTAAAAAAAAAAAGGAGGTAAAGTCCTTCATTTAAAAGGGTGTGGCCACCATTACAGGTTCACAGACAAGAGGCCTACAAGGAGGCACTTAGATTCTTAGATTCACACAAATTCTGCTTCAAAATGTTCTCATTCTCATAGGCTAATTCATAGATGGACCTTGTGCAGAGGGCCTGATAAGCATGCGTTTTTTTAGTGCCACAACACAACCTTTCATGAATCTGCCATCCAGCTGCTCAGATTTCTGTGGGAGTCAAGAATGCATGTCTTGCTCACATCTGACTCCCTCCAACTCCTTCCAAGTTGACTGGCAGAGTTAGCATTCAACAACCTGTTTTTGTATTAGATGCATGGTTTTATTTTAGTGATCTGTTAAGTCTACGAAAGACCTCCTTTTATTAAGTACATGCAAATATTTGTAATTAGTTCCTTTAAAACACTAGTGACTTGGCCAGGCAGTGGTGGTGCACGCCTTTAATCCCAGCAGAGGCAGAGGCAGGCGGATCTCTGTGAGTTCGAGGCCGAGCTGGTCCGACAGCCTCCAAGACAATATAGAGAAACCCTGTCTCGTAAAAAACAAAAACAAAAAAACAAAAACAAAGAAAACCACTAGTGACTTTAAAACATTAACAATTCTCAGGTGTTTGTGTGTGTGTAGTGTGTACAGGTGTGTCACAGCATACGTGTGGAAGCCAGAGGACAACTTCTGTGATTTGATCTGAAGCAAACATGTGGCCCCAGCGATCTCCTCGAGGTCACATCAGCAAGAGCCTTCTGAAGCCCTGAGTCACCGGCCTCCTCTGAATTACTGATATGATGTATACATCCAACTAGATGCATATTTACAAAACATTGAAAAATCCCGAACTGAGAGCAGTGTCTTCTGGACACGCCAGGGCCACAGCACCCTGAACTGAGAGCAGCTGCGGTGGTCTACATAAGACCTGCAGGGGGTCAAACCTATCAACACTCCGGCACGCAGAGGGGAGGACTTCCACCCCTCTGAGGAGACCTGGGGACGGGTGATGGCTTCTGGGAGACGAGGATTCAGTTGTCCTTAAGGATGTGGCCGATGGTAGGCTGACCGCTCTCTGGGGACAGCCCCGCACCCAAGAGTGTATACTGACAGCACAAATTATACACCAAGTTGCAAGGACGTAGGGATGTGAGGGTGGATCTGGGAAGGATTGGGGGAAGGAGTGAGAAATGAATGTGATAAAAATATATTGTATAGAATTCTCCAAGAATAAAAAAAAATTAACCTGCTTCTTCAAAAGTGTTTGCACATAAACCCCCTTTCCTTACCTTTTTATTGACTCTCCGTGGGCTTCACATCCTTTGTCTCAACCCCACTCATCTCCCCGTCCCTTTGAATTCACCTTCTGCCCATGCAACCTCCCCTCCTCCCCCAAGATGAAATAAAACTTAAAAGAAAGTCTCACTGTGGAAGCTGTAGTATGACACAGCGAGCCACACAATATACCCTTTAGTCCTTCTTACTAGCAAGTGTGCATTGCTTGAGTGATTGGTCTGATTGGGGGCCGCTGGTTCCTGCAACACTATTGATGCTGGGCCCTCACTGAGACTCCTCTTGGATAGTCTGTTGTCCTGTGTCACAGAGATCCTGTGGCTTTGGTTCTCCAGGACCAGCCCTCCCTCATCTTCAACCCCAGGGTGAGCTCTCCAACACCATCCCAGCTAGCTCACCCTATACAGTAAGCGGCAAGGGTGGGGACAGTTCTCTTGCTCTCACACCCTCAGGGTGAGCTCACCTACACCTACAGCCCAAGGCCACCTCTACCGTGTTACCCAGGTAAGGTGCAACGACCATAGATGGTGAGAGGTTTGGTGGGGCCCGGGGGAGGAGGGGGCATGTCTCTCCTTTGCCAGCCACCACATGGCAGATGAGGGGGTGGAGCCAGATCTCTCATGCTCACATTCTCAGGGCGCTCACCCATGCCTTCATCAACAGGGTCAGAGCTACCGTAACACCCAGGTGAAATGCAGGACCACCATGTCCAGTGCTGTAGCTAGGGAGGGGCGGGGCCAACTTTGTGCAGCCCTATCCTCTTAGCCTTTGGTAGTAACAGGAGCCATAGATATCAACACAAACCATGGCTACAGCAGGGGGTAAGGTCACAGACATGGCCAGGACATCATCGTGGCCCCAGTTGGCAAACAGGACACATGCTTCAGCCCACTCCTCACTGCCTTTGCCCTTTTGGATCTCTGTCTCTCTACAGGACATTTTCTCTCCTCTGTCTCTCTCTGTCTCTCTGTCTCTCTCTCTGTCTCTCTCTGTGTCTCTCTGTCTCTCTCCCCCCCCCTTGTATTTGCTTACCATAATAGAGCCTGACCACAGAGCCCCAGTGAGGGCATGTGCATCTTTGTTTCCTGCACAGTCTTCATCCACATAGACTTTTGTTTGTTTTTCAAGACAAGGTTTCTCGGTGTAGCTTTGGCTGTCCTGGCATTCATCCTGTAAACCACACTGGCCTCAAACTCACAGAGATCCACCTGCCTCTGCCTCCCCAGTGCTGGGATTACAGGCGTGCGCCACCACCTTCTGGCATCCACTTAAACTTTTGACAGCCCACAAAATTCCATAAAACCTGACTGCTTGCCTGGTGTAGAAAATTTTCATCCCTTTGAACAAAAAGACTCAGCCCTTACTAACTACCAACCAAGCATCAATATCCCCTTCAGCAAATAAATCAGCAAGGAAGAGAGTAACCATACTTAAGTCATCTTCAGACTTTGACTTTTAAAGCCAGGCTCTAATAAAGCCATGATTAGAGTAAGCGGGAACCTGTATTCCACAGTTGTGGAGGACAATACTTACAATGGCATGGAAATATTCTTCATTAAGCCTGTGGTCTGCAAACGCGTGGCCCTAAGTCCAGGGCACTCTCTCAGAAAGACTGTGCAGTTTGGGTCGCTGGGGCACACTGCATTCTGAACAGGGTCCCAATTACTCAACTGCCTGATTACTGTCTGTCCAAACTGTAACAAGAGCATCTGTCACCTAGCAACAACACATCACAGGACCCATTATCTCTACTGTGTTGATTCATGGTATCCAAGGCCTGTGGTTCAGACAGGCTGTTTAAAGGCGTTAAAACACCAACAGCATTGCCAGCTGTGGGCACAGCCACCAAGATGACCTTCAGGTCACAAGGCCAGATCGGATGGCTGCCAGGAACAAGCCTAGAGAGCAGAGAGGGGGCTCGTTTGACAAGAAATACTGAACCGCAGTAGGCAGCACACCCCATGACTTTGAGAGAATCAGTGGCTAGTACAATGTGGATGACAACACAATGGAACCTTAAGAGACTGTGGTACCCCCAAGGTCCCTGCACAACTGTTCAGATGACCCTTTCTTTACCTTTTATTTCCTTTCTCATCAGATCCTTCCTTGAACAAGGTTAAATTTTTCACTATTTTTTTTTTTCAGAAAAGCAACATTCTGGGGCTGGAGAGAAGCCTCGGCAGGTGAAAAGCACCCGTTGCTCCTGCAGAGGAACCAGCTTCAATTCTAGAGATACGATGTCCTTAAGTATGCATCGCAGTGCTTGTCAAACAGACGCACGCCTCCTTAGACCCCAGATGCTCAGATAACGGCATTTCAGCAGGCTGCTCGACAGCTCATGAGCAGATGGCAATCCTACACCTCCAAACGCACACCAGCCAGATTTTTCCACATTCTGCACATTCTTACTCATCGTACCATTTTCAAATATTTAAGTTCTCACCTAGCAGGGATTTGAGCAAATGCGGCGCAGTTACGCAGAGGTCTGAAACACAAGTGGTCCCTCCCGTGTAGTGGCGATTCGACAGAGGCACAGGAAGAACTGCATAAAAGGTAATAGAAACTGAGGTGGCTTCAGGGGTAAAAGTAAAGCCTGGGCCTTCTGTACGGGCCTGTCGCGTCCGCGCTAAAGAATGCAGGCGAGCGGGCCACAGGGAAAGCTGCGACCAGATGGAAAGACCCGCAGGAAAAGGCTGGGAGCCCTGGGCTACCGGCAACACTGTCTGTCCAAACTGGGAGGAACTCAAGTACAGCATTTTCCACAAAAGGGACCCTGACAGGCAAAGCTGCGAGAGGTGAGTGCTATGTTAGCAGTCTCATGGGCTGCCATCTTGAGTACATCCATCCCCTTGGCCGCATCCACCCGTCGTCCGCTCTCATTTCCAGGTATGCTTTCCCTTCTCAACGAATGGTCTCCATTCCTCCTTGTAACCGGGTGACCCCGGAACAGAAGCCCCCCGTCCCCCGCAGACGTCCTCTATTGTTTGGGGAGTCATCGGCGAGGAGGTCTGACCTGTGCTGCTTCTAATTTCTCATTTCCTAATATACTGCCCTTCCACCTTCCCAGGGCATCAGAAGCCTTGTTAGGACTTAGGACGGGGCCTCCCCACATTCTCCTTTCTTTCGGCCTCAGCTTACCGTGACCCACAGTCACAGCTGGGGACCCAGAGGTGGACACTCTGCACTGTTCTACAGGGATATTAGCTGAATCTATGCTGGGATAAAAGAGTGGTCCTCATGTCAGTCGTCTGGTCTGGTCTTGAGACGCTGTCTCAAAAGGAAACAGACTTTCAACAGTTTTCAGACTCGATCTTGGGAGACAACATAGGCGATTGGTTAAAACAGCAGCTTGGGAGTGAGTAAACAGGGAAGCGCTGGGGATTCACAGCAAAAGTCTCCGGTTCTCTTGTAGCTGTGCTCTAGATAGGACGGGAAAGGCAGCTCCAATCCATCACGGCTGAAGGACTCTTAACTCCACTCCAGAGGCCAGACACTTCTCTTCACTTACTGTCCCTCGGACCACACGCTACGATAAAACCTTGAGTATGAAAATAAGATTGATACTGAGAACCCAAAGGAGAAGTGGCTGTAACACTATCCAAGCTAGCAGAGGGGAAATTTTGGGGAAAGGATAACAGTTTCAACTAAAACGCTGTGCAGGGCTGGCCCTCTTCGGTGGGCATCAAGAGAAAGGCTTTGAAAAGTTGATTTGCCTAGGGTTTCTGTTTCTGCAGTAACATCATGGCCAACAGCAACTTGGGGAGGAAAAGGTTTAGTTCATCTTATACTTACGGGCAATAGCCCATCACTGAGTGAGGGACAGGAACCCAAGCGAACCGGTAAGCGGTGTTCCTCCATGGCTTCTGCTTCAGCCTCTGCCTCCCGGTTCCTGCTCTGCCGTGCCTTATGCCTGCAGCCAAAACTGGTAATTTATGAGAGCTTCCCAGGTGGCCCTGGTTTTGAAGGATTGAAGGGTTCATGAAGAACAGCTGAGGCTTGGCACCAGGAGAGAATCCTGGTGAAGGTTCCGACCAGCTGCAGTGCAGACTCCCAACATTTTGGAGCTGCCAATACCATGGGAAGAAAATGCTTCCACAAGATGAGGCTATAGGCATGTTTGTTGGGCATTATTTTAACTGGTGATTGATACTGCAAGGACCAACCCACTGTGGATGGTGCCACCCCTGGTAGTTGGGCCCTGGGTGCCATAAGAAAACAGGCTGAGCACGCCATGAGGAGCCAGTAAGATGCACTCATCCACGGCCTCTGCATCAGTTCCAGCCTCCAGAGCAAAGCCTTGAGGTCCTACCCTGACTTCCTAGGATAATGGACCAGACTCTGTGATATGAAATGAGCCCTTTCCTCCTTGCATTGCTTTCGGTCATGTTCTGTTATCACAGCAACAGAAATTCTATGTCGTGTGCCTTATTTACAGACCTTCAGGAGTCTCTACCCGGGTAAGGGGCTACACAAAGGAAACAGCAAAAGGAGCGAGCTGGGTGTTATGGGTACGGGAGGAAGGCTTCCTGACACTCATCCCTCTTACATCTACAGCACCCCCCTTAAGGAAACTCCTGAACTCCCAGGGATAATTAGCGTCACGTTCCTTTTTCAGTAGAGGGCCCTCGGCTATACAAGGAAAAACCCAAACCACCACTGCACAACTAGTGCCCACCTAGTGCCCACCAGCCACAGCGAAGCATGGCTCCTGTCTTGGTTTTCTCTGCTGCATGGGACTTAACAAGAGCACACTTCTCTGCTCCCACACCAGAAGGGGCTCTGGCCTTCCTGCTCATCCCAAATGCATGTCTTTCTCCATGTGCCGGCCCCCATGTTTTGTTTTTGTTTGCTGTCCAAAGACTCTCGCTAAAACCCGCTACCCAGACAACCACTGTCAACAAAAGAGACAGCTCTCATCCTATTGTAACAAAGGATATAGTCTATTCTGGAGCCAAATGTATGTGTGAGCAGGGACAGAGAACACAGAGTCAGCCTTTGCCCAAATACCAAATTCCTGGAAGGCAGCAATTTCGTGATGTTTCTATAGTAATAGAGCAAAAGAAGTCATAAGGTAGCACACTTTCCAAATATATTGGTGGGTGCATCAGGCAGGCAGGCTACAGTAGGGAACTGTGATCCAGGCCTTGGGTACTGACAACATTCTTGGCCCTTGGACGAGTTGGAAACTAGGAGGGGTCTGTTTGTACATTCCAAAGACTTGCTTTGTGGTCAGAAAGCTGTTAGGTCACTACAGAGGAGCGCAGTTACATGACTGTGGTGTGGGGGGAAGATGCCCCAGGACAGTTTGGCTCCGGACAACGTGCAACATTCCAACCTCCCCACATCACTGAAGGTCTCATCAGTCTATGAGGCATTGTCATCACCTCCTTTCCAGAAATTCTCCTTCACAAGGAAACCCAGACCTCACACTCCGTTATTCAACTCTGCCTTCTCAATGTCGGACAGCCAAGACCTCCAGAAAGAGGGCAGCCACACACGATCACCGCGGTGGGGACTTGAAGGTCCTAATAAGCCAGACAGAAACACGGGAGATTCCTTAACCCTACGGTTTCCAAAGACAAGTGAATTCAGTCTTTCCACTTCACAACTGTGTCGTGTGTGCTCACAAACTGTTTCCATGTAACCGCCCACAGCATCCCTCCTCTTCTCCCCTGGAGAGGGCTGCTTCCCCCTTACGTCTCCTGGAAGCCGCCCTAGATGGCTCCCGCCTTCACAATCAGCCCCAGACTTAGCATGTGCTGGCTTTGCCTCATGGCATGGGTTGCTTGGCATTTGCTTTGTTGTTGCTGATGTTTTAACCACACCTTCCCTGCTGGCCTGAGCGGCTGGAGTTCAGGGAGTAGTGTCTAGAGGGCCCCCTCTACAGAACGTACCTGCACAGCCAGCTGCCTAACTGCTCACTGGCATCACTGAGGCCCATGAGAGTGTCCGGCAGCTACACCAGACCACAGAGGCCCAGCAGAGGGCCCAGCAGAGCCCAGGAGGGCAGAGAGACACACCCACCCAGAGAAGAATAAGACCACATTTGTCCCTGGAATCTTGTGAGATAACTGAAACAAAAACCTGGGACCCCTTAAACATGTTTGTCATTCTGGTTTCTTGTTTGTTTGTTTATGTCATGCTGAAATTACTAATTTTCTCATTTCTTGGTGTGACTGCCTTTAAAATACGTATGTGTGTATGTGTAAAAATGAGTGTTTGGGAGAAGGCCTGATAAGTACATTCTTAAACTGAAGTGCTCTTAACTTCTTAAAACCCATTAAAATGGTATCTTTGGGTCTATTAAAATGTTTTACAAAACCTTAAAATTTCATTTGTTTATATGAAACAACATTTACTGACAATGTAGCCCATTCCTGGCACTGGAAGTTTTACTTGGTGGCATAAGACATCTAGTTGGGGCATTATCTTCCCCCATTATATGGTGAGTCCATTTAAATTCCTTTCATATATGTATACATTTTTTGGAAGCTTCTACAATAGTAGGTTTCCATATGGCTTTGGCTCCAAGGAAACAGCAGCGTCTTCCAGACACAATGGGATCGATACACACATGAACTTACAGAGACTGTGACATGTACACAGCCCTGTACAGATTTGAACCAGATGATGCCCCAGCGCTGACAGCGGAGTGGACACAAGCCCTCCCTAACCTACAAGCTATCTCCAATTGATATCTGCTGGCAAATAAATAATCAGTTTTCTCCAACGAAGTGTCACTGGGTATATCAACCAACTCCAAGTCAGGCCCTATGCACAGGAGCGGGGAGCCATTACAAAATGGACTCCTTGAGGGCTTTGCTTGGTTGGTTGGTTTTTTTCATACTGTCTTGTTTTGTTTGGTACTTTTTTGTTCTGTTGTCTTCTTGATTTTAGTTTCGTCTGTTTGGATTTGGGGATTTGTTGTTCTTATTTTTCCAGGGGCTTTTTGTTTGATGAGAGTAGAGAGTGGGAGAGAGAGAGAGAGAGAGAGAGAGAGAGAGAGAGAGAGAGAGAGAGAGAGAGAGAGAGAGAGAGAGAGAGAGCTGACAGGATGAAAGAAGTTAAAGAAAGAAGTTGGGTACACGGGGAAATGAAAAGGATCTCAAAGGAATTGGGGGGAAGAACATGATCAAAATAGACTGGGTGAAAAAAATTAAAAGAAAGTAATTTAAATAATGTCTTTTAAAGCATAGACTTTAAATGAAGGATTGCTGAGGCTATAAAAAATGATCTGACCAAAAGTCTAACACAGTTGGCAAGTGACACAAAATTCTTTTTTGGCATTTATTTTTAAAATACATCTTTTATATATGATTATGTATATGTCTGTTGTATACATATGCTTATTTAAGTAAATGGTTGTATGACTATAAACTGTTAGGTCAGTCCAGGTAACCTTCAGTCATATTATAACCAAAAATTTAAAACAAAGAACTAGGAGTCCAATCTTGAATACCTTAGCTCTAATTCTACAAGTGTCCTGATAAACTCCCCATTGCTTGGTAAAATATAAAGGTTCTCTCAGGACATGCAGGCTCCTGGTTAGTCCGATCTTTATGAAAAACTGCCGTCATCTGAGAGGTGGTCCTCTAGATTCTGATGTTCCTAGAATCCAAACAGATTTTTGAGTAGTTCATATGCTTTAAAAAAAACTTTTATCAAAATAAGTACTTACACCGTTCCAGAAAGTACTTGATATGATGCCTAGGAACTACAACAATGACCAGCATGACAAGTTGTCTCTAAAAGTGCAACAGTGGCATTCATATCTTGGTGGTAGCCAATAGCTGTCTAATTGGATTTAGAGGCTGCTCAACATGAGGGAAATCATGCCTGTTACTGGGGCTTATGAGGTCATGGACCTCAGTGGAGAACCTACTATCACTACTTAATTAAGCCAGCATAATTCCTAGTACATTCTAAGTCCTTATCCTTGTACTTTCACCCCTCACCAAAAACCTTCTCTTGGCAGTGAAGAGGAAACCACAACTGGTCAAAATGTAGAAAACAACCGATCATGGGGTGTCCAATCCCAACGGCTACGTCTACAACGTCAACTCCTATAGCTAAGTTCAGATGACATCATGGAAGATGGGGTGGGAAGATTTCCAAAGCTAGAGGACCAGAAATCCTGCTGTGAGACGGTGTGCCTTAGAAATGACAGAACACCCGTGATACTTCAGCAATACGGCTGCCGCCTCCCCTCCACCCAGTAGGCAAAGTAGGCAGTAGAAGTGACTTGTCTCTCATCGGCATGGTCCTGGAGAGGGACTGAATGATTCACCCTGTCTGGGAACAGTCCCTGGGGGTGGAGGGGAGGTTTGCTGGAGGTCTGTGGCTGTAGGGTAGTAGGAAACAGAGAAAGCTACATCAAGATTGACATATGAAAGAAGCCAGCAGGCAGGAAATGACTGCAAGAGCTTTCCCACCTAGGCCATACACATGAAATAGAGCATGCTCCCCAAAAGTGCATGGTACACACGTGCATGGGAGGTAGGATCTATGCAAATGAATCTAATGATGTAGGCAGAGGCTTTGAGAACACTCATTACCCTCAGGTCACAAGGCCACCGTCACCCTCAGGAGTGCTTTCCCTTCCTTAGGAAACTCTCTCTACTTCTATCTCTAACCAGGTGTCCTGGTCCAAAACTCTGCCCTGGGACACAGAAGCCTGGAAATTTCAGCTGGTTCCCTAGGACTTGCTATGAAGATCTTCTCCACCTACAAGCTCAAGCCTAGCCTAGCTCTATATATATAATGAGTTCCAGACCAGACAGGACTACACAGCAAGACCATGTATCTGAAGATAAAAAGAAAGAAAGAAAGAAAGAAAGAAAGAAAGAAAGAAAGAAAGAAAGAAAGAAAGAAAGAAAGAAAGAGAGAAAGAAAGGGGGAAAACCAAAAAACAGGAGAAGAAAACATCTGGAGTATAAGAAACGTGATTACTATTGGTTCTGTTCTCCCTGCTACAAAACCACAATCCGTTGGGTAGGTGTATCTTTATGTAAATATCTATTTCAATTCAACACCTCACATTCTGCTAAGATTATAAAAGAGTTTCTGGTTTATTTGAAAATAGGAAAACCACAGGCTAGTTTGAGGGTAAAAAAACAATCACAATGACTCCACCCATACACACTGCTAGTAGAGTTTTCTTTCAGTTTCTCACCTATGGAGTCCTTTCTATTTAGAGATTTACTTTTTTTTTTTTTTTTTTTTTTTTTTTTGTTTTTCGAGACAGGGTTTCTCTGTGGCTTTGGAGGCTGTCCTGGAACTCACTTGGTAGTACAGGCTGGTCTCAAACTCACAGAGATCCACCTGCCTCTGCCTCCTGAGTGCTGGGATTAAAGGCGTGCGCCACCAACACCCGGCTGAGATTTACTTTCTTGCAGTTGTAGATAACCTAAATTAGGATTATATGATACAAAAAGATTTTGCTTTGCTTTTTTCATTTAGAAAACAAAAATGAAACATTTTCAATATAATGAAGTACTACCCATTAGGTATTATTTCAAACCGCATGTAACAGTACAAGAATACTACATCTTACATACGTTTAAGCATATTACTAGCAGTTAGAAACATAAACATAAAATTGAGAGAAGATAAGTTTTTTTCAACAACAAAAAAGACACTTAAAAAATAATTTTTTAGGTCTAGCAAGATGGCTCAGTGAGTAAAGGCACTTACCACCAAGCCTAACAACCTGAGTTTGATCCCCAGGAGGCACACTGTAGACGGAGTGAACTGACTCCAGCAAATTATCCTCTAACCTCTACGTGTGTTATGGCAAGCACACACACACACACACACACACACACACACACACACACACACACACATACACACACCCCAAAAATTAAGATAAATTTAAAATTATCTTACAGTGTTACATTACTTGGGAGGGTCGTTGGTGCCATGCATGTTGACTTAAAAGGAGAACACAAGTAAGTTGGCACCAGAGTTTGTAGGCCATGCTTAGAGAACTGTGTACGTTGAGAGTCTAGAAAACTCCATTCCCCAATCACTGTGAGTTGCTTCAGGAGTAAATGGAGATCAAGAAGGCAGGGGCCCAAACACATAATTATGTTTCACTATTTCATAGATGGCACTTTTATTGCGTGTAAACTGCTTCCATTTTGCAACACGCAAACTAGTTGGCAACTCAGCAAAGTCAATTGCGGCCATTTGATCCCCAGATGCACAGAGTTTATCAGATCCAGACAACCTGGGCATAAACCGATGCGTCTTCAGGCAGATTTTCCAGTCACTCTTCTCTGGAGACATAAGCCGGGGAAGGGTAGAATTTCCATGACTCATCCTATCAGATCATAAAGATGTCATGGGTACTGCCACAAATGGACTATTAATTGTTGCCAGAAATACGAAGTTCATTTTTTTTCCTCTGAGTAAAAAGATGGCAACTCCAAATCTCACAGAGAGACCCTGGACAAATATTTAAAAATGTGCTTTTTGCCCCTCAGTTTCAACACACTTTAATTCTACACTGTCTTGGCTTTGTTTTCAGCTAGGCTCTGCTTTCGTCAACCGGTTGGGAGTTCAGGACACCTGCTTCGCTTTAGCTCTACTGGTCCCACGCCGACGCATTAAACCCTGCTTTGGTGCACCCATCCCTTTCCAGGTGTGACAGCAAGCACATGCTAGGATGCTATAAATCCCGGGTCCCCTTACCTGTCCCCGTCCCCCCCCCACCCCGTGTGTGTTAGGAGCAGTTCCAGACCGAAGAGGGGCGGGCGCCTGTGCTGCTCTTCATTCACTCACACTGAAAGACTTTTCCCCGTCCGTGAGCTGATTCCAGGAGGTCCACAGCTTCAGATGCTGACTTGGCGGTGAAGAACAACTTACTGGCTTCCTCAGAAACGGGCACAGGGAAGATGCTAAGCTTGCCCATGGAAGCTGCTGCCCAGTTGGTGGCAGAAGCCTGCCACAGCCTCACATGCACGCACGTCAAGGGCCTCTGCACTGCATGAAGCAAGCAGAGCTTGGAGGTTGAGACGCATGCCCGAGACCCCTCTGTGAAAACTGACATTGCCACCGCCGGGCCAGAGGGTAAGCATAGACCCCGGGACCCCACAGTCCGGGGAACTGTGGGGTGACTCAGTTTCAGTCCCTTTTTTGTTTTCAACTCAGGCTCAGACAAAGTGGGTGTCTAGAGTTGTCACTGGGGCCCAAAGATAAATCTAACCACCCAGCTCCCCTACTGAAGCCCTCAGGAGGCTCAGAAGGAATGGATTGAATGTAGGAAACACAAAGCCATTCCTTCTTCAACGCCTCCTTTCTCACTCACGGGAGCTTCCAGATTCATTGGTTTTAGCTCCTGGAGAGTGTCCTTCATGTCCTTCAGGCCTGCGGCAATCTCCTGGGCCGCCTTCCTGTCTACCCTTCAGAACTACAAATCCTGTGCAGGTACCCACATGCTTTCCTTGGCCCCTACATCAGGATTCAGCCTCCCGGATCGGGCTTATATCCTTATTCTGCATGTTTCCTGCGATGCACCCCCCTCATTTAGAATCTTAAGTTCTGTGAGAATGTGGGTTCATTGCTCTGTTCCCAGAGCCTAGCACAGCGTGCACACCATGCATAGTCATTGCTCAGCAAACACACCGAGTCATTGGAAAGATCCGCTGACTTAGCTTCAGTGGGCTCAGGAGAGCCAGTGATGGGTGTTGCCATGGAAACGGGAACAAGGGTCTGCCTGAGGATCCAGGTCTAGCTTGACTGCTGGCTTGTGCTTCGATGAGTGTTGTCAGTAGGCTCAAGTCCTGCTCATTTCTAATCCATAGAACTATCAACTCCAGGCTTTAGAGAATCCTCAACCAACTTGTCCATGAAAAGTACAGCTGAAACTTTCAAGAAGTCATGGCATGCAGCCCCTGCAGGAAGAGACCTGCTGCTCTATAGATTTATGGTAAGGGTACATATTCATGTATTTCTTTCCTCACCCCTGATGCTCTATTATAGTATAGTATAAAAATAAACACTGTATGTACAAACCTTAAGGGTACCTTCCTCAACCAACAGATATTTTTGCAATGTCATCAGCAGGGCACATGTAAAACATGTTGTTGTAAATTAAACTGCAAAACTAGAATTCCTCATCTCTTTAGTTCTCTAGAGCAACTGACAGTATTTCTCTTGTATGTAAGAGCAGACTACCTGGGGCTGATAAGTCAGATCTGTAAGAAGACAGGGGATTTTATCTAATTATTACAAGATGCTCTTGGTGGTGTTTCCTCTAATATAAATGACTATCCATAGGAAAAGCACATTGCTGAGCCTGACTGAAGAGAAAGGAGCATGTCAGGAAGGGCACATCTTAAGATTTATAACTCTAAATCTGTCTAAACTTAGACAATGCATGTAGAACAGGGATAAACTGTCTTTTATACAGCATAGAGACTGTCTGACCTTCAGAGAGGTGTGCCTTGTACTAAAACCCCACAGTTATGCTCTAACATGAGTGAGCAACGCTCTGTGAAACACTATAGGTGTGGGCTTTTACGCTGTGCTTAAAGTACACTATCAGGCATTCCTCGGGAAATTCCATGAAGACTCCAGATTGAATCAAGCTAAATAAACTGTCAAAGGCCCAAATCTCCATTAAATGCAGAAATCTTGGATAAACCTCTGTGCCTTCTCAGTAGATGTTATTTTGTTTATGTCTCATCTTTCAGATCTGCATGTCTTAAAAACTGCAGCATAATATAATGTGACTTGCAGTCACGCTTGATATTCAACTAATAGAGGCTTTGTTCTCAAGTTCGAGCATCTACACTATGGTAAGAACATTACCTTTATGGCAGCACTACACATCAGACACACGAGATATACCCAGCCCTGCTCTATACAACTTGGAGCCTAGAAACACGCAAACTCATTCACTTTCAGCAAGGGTGGTGATGCCACTTGAGAAACTAGAGAGGGTGGTAAACTAGCCACGGAATTCCAGTGGTCACATGGTGAATCGTGGTAAACTAGCCACGGATACTCCAGTGGTCACATGGTGAATTGTGATAAACTAGCCACGGCTATTCCAGTGGTCACATGGTGAATTGCAGCCCGTAACACTGAATTCCTGTGTGTCCAATGTCTCTGCTTCAAGAGACTTTCAATTCGCTTGTTCCTCTCTAGTGAGACAATCATGAGAAAAGATTGAGACGATTGGACTTAGTGCTAGGATTTGATAGAGATGTTTATTGGTTTAAGTAGATGTTTGGGGAATGTGGGAAAGGTACTATACAATGGTGGGGTAGAATTCCTTTAGGTTCCCAGATTTATAGACCAGGAGACATGAAAGCAAACCCAAATGGCCAGGCACAAAAAGATTCCACCACGCATTCTGAAACATGCTCTAATTGAAAACCAGGGCACTGTGCCCTTGACTGCGATGACAGAGCTTCCTCGCTACGAAACGACGGCAGGCTGAGGACCGTCAGGTAAAGAAGGTTCCAACGAGACACAGAGCAATGAGTGCTGTGCTTCAAGTCCATCCAGAGAGGTCGCACAGCCTTCAGAATTAGTGAGTGAAGAGGGTTACACCCCTGGTGAGCGCCAGGATCAGATCACAGCAGTAGTCCTGGTAGTCATGGGTGATACTTTTCACCTTGGTGATGGGGGGCGGGGAGGAGTCACAACTGTAAAAATGAAGACAACATTGCACCCTCATGGCTGCTCTAAGGCTTAAAATGAAAATCCTGATGCAGGAAAACGAAAGAACACAAAGCACTGGATATGTATAATGACCATTTATCTATTACCATAAATGGACGAATATGCAAATCAAAACAACCCTGAGATACCATCTCACTCCTGTCAGAATGGCTAAAATCAAAAACACCAACAACAGTTTATGCTGGAGAGGATGTGGAGAAAGGGAAACACTCCTCCACTGCTGGTGGGAGTGCAAACTTGTACAGCCACTTTGGAAATCAGTATGGAGATTCCTCATAAACTACATTATGGGACTTGGTGCAAACAAGATCAGGAAAGTATCCAAGGGCCTCCTAGTTGTGATCATCTCCACACATTACAAAATTCAGTACAATCCCAAGGTTTGTTCCATGATGCTTTTCTCATTTCACAACATGCTATCCCAACATACTAATTTCATGGAATGATCAAAAAAAAAAAGAAAAAGAAAAAGAAAACCAGCAAGTTCCATGGGCAAATGGCTTTGGAAACCACGCCTGTGGTATAGTCACTATCCCAAATGCCTGTGACGGATGGTGTTGTCAGCTGATGGGATTAAGAATCGTCTAGAAGTCCAGTCGTGAGGTGCATCTGTGAAGGCATTTTCAGAGGCCTAACCAAGGAAAGAACCCACCCTGAACGTGGGCAGCACTGACCCACATGCTGGGTCTCACAGCGCATAAAGAAAACACTGGGATGTCTAGGAGAGTCCTAGTGGGAGCCCAGCATGGGTCAGGTAGGGGAGACCGGGGGCCCTGAACCAGACCAACGGTTTTGCAGCAAGCACTCGCAAGTAGAGATGCGTGGACAGACGGGTGTACAGCGTGCCTGATTCAGGTCACACTGCAGCTTCCATGACGAGATTTTTAATTTTTTTCCCTTTGTTATTTTTCGTTTATTTTCCTCCTTTTTTCTCTCTTTAATTTTGTTTTATTGGGGGGGGCAGGCTGCAGGGGCAAAGGGCAGATTCGAAGGTATACAGAATGAATGGGATCAAGACACATGATGTGAGAGACACAGAGGATAAATTTTTAAAGAGATGAATGGGAGGGCACACTAAGCACTGACTTTCATCCCATCTGCTTCCTGACTGCAGACACACTGTGACAAGTTGCCTCAAGCTCCTGACTATGTGCTCCTTACAATGATGGACTGCACCCTCCATCTTAGGAGCCAAAGCTAACGCACCTGACTGGCTAAGCTAAGATGTATATAATATTGTAATACATAAGTGAAACAACCTGTTGGAAGTCATACACAAATACCCAGGGCTAGAAAGATGTCTCAACTGGTAAAGTGACTTCCTGGAATGCACGAGGACCTGATTTTGGATCCTTTGAACCCAGGTTTAAAAGTCAAGTACAGCAGCTTAAGCCCATCACCAGTAAGGTAGAAACTGGAGGACCCCTGAGGCTCACTAGCCAGCTAGGTCAACCCAATCTACAAGCCCTAAAACAATGAGAAATCTTGTTTAAACCAAGACATTGACACCAGAAGTTGATTTCTCTAGTCTCTCCACTCTTGGCACATAAATGTACACATACCTGTACCCACACACAAATGAACATACACACATGAACATACACATATACACACCAAAAAGAAAGAAAGAAAGAAAACACAGGGAAGCTAAGCAAAGACCTGATTCAATACCCTAGAACCCACACAGAAAAGCAGAAATGGTGGTATGTGCCCATAATCCCAATGCTGGGGAGGCCAAACACGAGGATCCCTCCCTGGCCCTTGCTGACCAAGCAACCTAGCTGAATTGGGCAGCTCCCTGTTCAGCAAGTGGGATAAAGGAAGTCACCCAACATGTCCTGGCCTCCGCATGTGCACACACATGAATGTGCACACACGCAGAAATACACATGTACATTCACATGTCTTTTAGGCACACAATGAGGTAAGAGACTTTAAAACCCTTAATTTACTTGGATAATCGGGCAGCTGCTACTGAGATTCTCTGCTTTTTGTCAGGGTAATGAGACACGCACCGAGCATTAGCTCGCTTGAGGAACACAGAAGCCACCCACAGTCAAACACTACTCCGGTGGCTTGGGTAATAGAAATCAAGGGGCATGCTTTAGCTGTTAAGAAACCAGAGACTCCAAGCAGAAGAAGGCAATAAAAGCATACAAGACAGAAAACAGAAGACAATAAAGAAAATTGATGAGCCCCGAAGATGAGTTTTGTTTTATATTAAAAATTGAATTTTGTGAACCTCTGAAATAAACCAAAGAGAATATCATAGGACTTTATTCCAGAAACTACAAAAATGATCTGCTCATTATGATTCTTGTCTATTGAGGTGTATTTACACAGCACACCTCCCAGAGTGGTAGTAACAGATGCTTAAGGACCCTGCACAAGGGTTTTGCCACCTTCTATACGAAGAAAGAAACTGGGAGCTAAAGTTGCACAAAACCACACTCAATTAATCCTAACACAGGCTATCCACATCTGAACAAATATTCTGGGATTTTTTATACAAAATCTAAGCATCTTTGGTGAAAATTTTGAAGAAATCTACACAATAGTGCAATGAGAAGAAGCCATGTAAATTCGAGAAGTCACTAGTGTAAGGAGTGGGGGGTCACTTTTGATGTCATTCACTGACGATATATTAAAATATTTTCAGTTATCAAAGACAATCATGCCAACAACCATTCTCAAACTCACGATGTTGAAAATGATTGAGAGTGCTGATCTCAAACTCTGTTAACGGCAGGAAATACCAAAGACACCTTGGTTGGAAGGACAAAGCAGATTGCATCCTTTGTTTTCATGTTTGGGAGGAGTGTCCACAATGCATAGTTTGAAGCCCAATTCCAGAGTTCTCGTATCTCTAGCCATCCCATTCAAACAATCTCTGCCTTTCCTTGGCCTCTTGCAGAGGATGCCATCCTGCACAGAATGCCCTGGATACACATATACACGCGTATACACCACAACTGCCCCCTGCTGCCTCCTTATCCATCAGCCAATCGCTACCCCTCCCTCAGTTCTCAACGCGGACTTAAGGAAGCCTTGCAGGACCACACGAAATAACACTAGCTTATTTTGGTTTAAGTTCAAGAAGGGCAAGTCTGAGCAAAGGGGTCAAGACTGGGCTGGTGAATCCCAGAGAAACAGCTGGCCTGAACAAGGGGGAGATCTTGGACCCCAGACTGATGGCCAAGAGGCCAGCATTGAACTGATCCAGACCCCCCTGAATGTCGGTGTCAGTGAGGAGACTTAGGCAATCTATGGGGCTTTGGGTAGTAGATCAGTATTTATCCCTGGCACACAAATGAACTTTGGGGACCCATCCCACAATGAGAGATGCACTCTCAATCTGGACACTTGGGAGAGGGCCTGGGCCCTCCCCAGAACGAAATGACAGACTTTAGAGATCCCCCATGGAGGGCCTTACTATCCCTGAGGAATGGAGTGGGGATTGGATGGGGGGCTAGGGGGAGGGAGTAGGCGTGGAAGGGAGGGAGAGGGTGCTGGGACTAACATGGGAAGCAAGCTTGTTTCTAATTTAAATATATAACAAAAAAGTGTAATAAAAAAAAAGAAGGGCAAGTCCATAGGCCTGAGTCTCTGTAGACAGTGGCACAGCATAGCAAAAGCCCTGGCCTGGTGGCTTACGTCACATCCCAAGCCAGGACGCAGAAAGAGAGGGATCTCGGTGAAAGAGAGGATGGGACAAATATATATATATATACCCTCAATGACCGGTGAACATCCCATTGGGTCTCATCTTAGAGATGTACATCACTTCTCAATAACTGGCAGCTGAACTTTTCACGATAGCGCCCAGCACGACAGTCCTCATAACACTGTCCTTCTTTCTGAACCATTACCACTTCTCTAGTTTGGGCTTCCCCCGCCCTGGAATACAAGGTCAGGAAAGTGAGCATGTCTAAC